AGAGTCCTCTCCTGCTGATGTTCAGGTGTATATCAGTATGTAGTGTCTCTACTTTAAAGAGTCCTCTCCTGCTGATGTTCAGGTGTATATCAGTATGTAACGTCTCTATTTTAAAGAGTCCTCTCCTGCTGATGTTCAGGTGTATATCAGTATGTAGTGTCTCTACTTTAAAGAGTCCTCTCATGCTGATGTTCAGGTGTATATCAGTATGTAGTGTCTCTACTTTAAAGAGTCCTCTCCTGCTGATGTTCAGGTGTATTGTATATCAGTATGTAACGTCTCTATTTTAAAGAGTCCTCTCCTGCTGATGTTCAGGTGTATATCAGTATGTAGTGTCTCTACTTTAAAGAGTCCTCTCCTGCTGATGTTCAGGTGTATATCAGTATGCAGTGTCTCTGCTTTAAAGAGTCCTCTCCTGCTGATGTTCAGGCGTATATCAGTATGTAGTATCTCTACTTTAAAGAGTCCTCTCCTGCTGATGTTCAGGTGTATATCAGTATGTAGTATCTCTACTTTAAAGAGTCTTCTCCTGCTTATGTTCAGGTGAATATCAGTATGTAGTGTCTCTACTTTAAAGAGTCCTCTCCTGCTGATGTTCAGGTGAATATCAGTATGTAGTGTCTCTACTTTAAAGAGTCCTCTCCTGCTGATGTTCAGGTGTATATCAGTATGTAGTGTCTCTACTTTAAAGAGTCCTCTCCTGCTGATGTTCAGGTGTATATCAGTATGTAGTGTCTCTACTTTAAAGAGTCCTCTCCTGCTGATGTTCAGGTGTATATCAGTATGTAGTGTCTCTACTTTAAAGAGTCCTCTCCTGCTGATGTTCAGGTGTATATCAGTATGTATGTATCAATCATTAAACCGCTCTTAAAAAATAATAATCTAGATGCTTCAGTAATGAACAATTACAGGCCCATATCAAACCTCCCATTTCTAGGTAAAATCATTGAAAAAGTTGTTTTTCAACAGTTGAGTAATTTCTTGCATTTAAATAACTGTTTGGATGTGTTCCAGTCAGGCTTTCGTCCAAACCACAGCACTGAGACTGCTCTTGTAAAGGTCTTCAATGACATCCACTTAAACACAGACAGTGGCAGAACTTCAGTGTTAGTATTATTAGATCTCAGTGCTGCGTTTGACACTGTTGACCACAGCATATTACTAGACCGACTGGAAAACTGGGTGGGACTTTCGGAAACAGTTCTAAATTGGTTTGAATCCTACTTAAAGGACAGAAACAACTTTGTTTCTAAAGGTAAATACACATCTGAGTTGACAAATATGACATGTGGGGTTCCTCAAGGCTCCATCTTGGGGCCTCTTCTCTTTAACGTCTACATGCTACCACTGGCTCAGATAATGAAGAACAACAAAATAAGTTACCATAGCTATGCAGATGACACACAAATGTACGTAACAATTTCACCAGGAGACTATGCTCCAATTCAAACACTGAGTAAGTGCATTGAACAAATCAATGACTGGATGCGTCAGAACTTTCTCCAATTAAACAAAGATAAAACTGAGGTAATGGTTTTTGGAGCCAAGGCAGAACGTATAAAAGTTAGCGCTGAGCTTCAGTCTGCAATGTTCAAAACAACAGATAAAGCTAGACATCTAGGTGTAGTCATGGACTCTGACCTGAGTTTCAACAGTCACATTAAAACTGTTACTAAATCAGCCTACTATCACCTAAAGAATATATCTAGGATTAAAAGACTAATGTCACAGCAGGATTTGGAAACACTTGTCCATGCTTTTATCTTCAGTAGACTCGACTACTGCAATGGTGTCTTCACAGGTCTCACTAAAAAATCTATTAGGAAGCTGCAGCTGATTCAGAACGCCGCTGCTCGAGTCCTCACTAACACTAAGAAAGTGGATCACATCACTCCTGTTCTGAAGTCTTTACACTGGCTTCCTGTGTGTCAAAGAGTAGATTTCAAAATACTGCTGCTGGTTTATAAAGCACTGAATGGTTTAGGCCCAAAATACATTTCTGACCTCCTGCTAAATGATGAACCATCCAGATCTCTCAGGTCTTCAGGGACTGGTCAGCTTTCTGTCCCCAGAGTCAGAACTAAACATGGAGAAGCAGCGTTCAGTTATTATGCTCCAAATATCTGGAACAAACTCCCAGAAACCTGCAGGTCCGCTGCAACTCTGACTACTTTAAATCCAGGCTGAAGACTTTTCTTTTTGTCGCTGCTTTTAATTGAACTATTCATATCTTAAACTGCACTGTAACTTTTATCCATGTATTTTTTCTTTTAATGTTTCTTTTTTTATCTTTTCGTTTTAATGACTGATTATAAATGCCATTTTCTTAATGTCTTTTGTTTTTTGTAAAGCACTTTGAATTGCCTTTAGTTGAAAAGTGCTATATAAATAAACTTGCCTTGCCTTGATGTTCAGGTGTATATCAGTATGTAGTGTCTCTACTGTGTCATGTCTCCATGCTTTAATGTTAAAAAAACTCTTTATTTTTCTCATACTGGCAGCACATCTTTTCACCGTCTGTCTGAAACCAGAGCCCAGTCTGCTAACCCTATCCCTGGCAATAATCCTCCCAACTTTCTATTCGTCCCCAACCCAGTCCGATCTGAGGTGCTTCAATGCTCCCATTGCTCTAGCTTGGCTAACCATCCCAGGAGTTTGTCCGCCTGTACCATCTGTGCCCAGAGCAAGGCTGACTCGCTTCAGCCACTTCCTGTTCCAAGTTGACCCTCGTCCCACATCACTCTGGACTTCGATACTGGCCTACCACTATCTCAAAGTAACACCATCATAGTTACGGTTGGCGATCGTTTCTCTAAATCTGACCTTTTCTTTGCCCAGCCATTATTTATCTAATGTATCATATTCCATTTACTTGGATAAACACTCTTCTTGCACTATTTGTCTTTACTTGCACATCTCAAAACATTCTCTTGCACTATTTTATCTTTTTTATATTTGTTCTATGTCCTATACTATTAGGACATAGTATCTATATCCTATTCATGTTGCTCTGTTGGAGGAACCTGTGACCTAAGTATTTCATTGCCATATCTTCTGAACACTGTATCTAAAGTGCACATGACAATAAAGCCTTGAATCTTGAATCTTCTGCAGTCTAATGGCAAGACAGAGAGAACCAATCAGGAACCAGAGTCTGCCCTGTCACCAATAAGAACCCCTTTACCTGGAGCCCCCACATCCCCTCACTCACATAACGGTCTCACCTGTTCGGCATGTCTACATGTGAAGCCTCTCTAGTATCAACCGCCCCTTTTTTACCTGAGGACGAGATTGAGCTGACAGACCATTTGGTAAAACTGCATATCCGACTTTGAAAGGACCTACGCTTTGCCCTCCCCCTGACTCTGGCCAGGAACAAGGGCTCTGCAAATAGTAAAAATACCTGCTGCTCCCTTTTATTTACAAGGTCAGTCAGTTTGGCTCTTCTTCTAACAACTCTCCCCCAGGTTCACTTACGTCTTGTCATTTCAAGACATAAGAATTCACCCCACATTCCATGTTTATCAAATATATACTGTTCATACCAGCACCCCTTCCTTTGCCATTCCTTACTCTGTGCCTCTTTGTCCAGATACTTTTACCTTCTCCATCCGTCTTGCTCATTTACCATCTCCGTGCCTCTTCTCCCTCCTGACGATACCACCTGGCAGGATTCCTGGAAATACCACAACCACTGCTCTCAGCCATCGCTCCCATGTTGGGATCCCCCCAATGTCCCGCCTCAGTCCCTGAAAAGCCTGAGATGACTCTGCCCTGCTTCCTGTACCTATTATAGCCCAGAACGAACTCAGTTCTGCTTGCATTTCTTTCTGCGTTTACATATTGGGATTCAGATGAGTCACTCATTAGGACCCGCAACACATACTATCACCTGGATAGGTAGGTAGGTAGAAACAGCAGGGAAAGATTCAGTTGCTAAATCAACAATATGATATAAAGTCTTAACGCAAACTGACACGTTCGGCTTAAATAGAAAAACAATATGATTAACAGCAGAAATCATCTATTGGAAGCTCAATAAAAAACACTTATAAGTGCAGAATCATCATTTCTTTATTACACTAGAAAGAGACATTTACATTATAGACACATTGCACATATCTATATCATTTCGTATGTTTATATTGTATGAATTGTCTGTCAGGTTTGGGGAAAATAGGACCCAAGTGCAGTTAAAAAATACAAAAAAAGGTTCGTTAACAAAAAGCGAGCTTTATTATAAAAATCCGAAGGCATGAAAAAACAAGAAACTAATTAACAGAAACAAAACCGGGGAGCATGACAGACAGGAACAAACTTACATACGGGAACAGGCAGGAGACACGGACAAGCATGGGTGACAGAACAGACATGGAACACAGGGGAAGACAAGACTAAATACACAGAAGGGTAATCACAGGACAAGACACAGCTGGGCAGGGGAGGAGAAACACAAGGGCAACAGGTGAACACACTCAGACAATTAGACACACCAGGGAAACTAACGACAGGGATGAAAAACACAGGCAGAGGGACCAGACAATATACAAAGAGGAAAACATTTCAAAACAAAGGTGGAAAACATAAATCCAAAACCATGACATTGTCAACAAAACAAAAATGTGAAACATTGTTTTAATGCACTAGAATGATTTTTTGAATTGTAACAAACCCCAACCCTAACCTGACCTGATGGTGATCCTTCATAGTATTTACCGTCATATAACCATATTCTCCATAATCCAGACCGTATGTCTCCCTTCCTCTAGACAGACTCTGCTAACACACCCAGTCCCCACTATGTACTGTCTGTAACCTGGACATCCCAGCTGTGAGTCCCTGAGTCAAAGCCCTCAGAGCCCAGGACAAACCAGCGATCATCAAACCTCTCTGGATTATCAAGAAGTTTCTGTCCCTCTCCTCCTCGTCTCACACTGGTCAGATCTTCAGACAGGATGAGTTCTGGACCAGCAGTGTTTGGGTCCATGATGACAGGAGAATTAGGACACCATGTCCTTCATCTTGCTCCAGATGTTGAAGCTGAGGTTGCCCAGGTGTTTGGCCTGGTCTATCATAGCTCCTGAGGGCAGCTGTGGATCCTCCAGCAGGGGGCACTGCAGCCTCTCCACTGCAGCCTTGTAGTTGTGCAGGAAGGAGACGTCTTCAGCTCCTCCTCTGTGGCCTCTGACTGTGTGTGAAAGAGCTGCTATCTCTCTGCTCACAGCCTCCATCTTCTCCTCCATCATCCTCCTCTTCTGCTCCTCTTCCTCCCTCAGTGCAGCCATCCTGGCCTCCTCTTCCTCTTCTAGAAACTGGTGAAGCTTCTTGAACTGCTCCTTAATCTGCTTCTCTGTGTGTTGAGCCTGGACCTTCATGTGTCCTGCTGTCTGATCAAACTCCACTTTAACTTCTTCAAAGAGCTTCAGTTTCTCCTGAAAGAGCTCCAGAGCTTTCTGGAGCTCCTCTCTGAGATCCTGAGCAGCTTCATTGATGGGTCTGAATCTGTGATTGGTGTGTGTTTCTCTGAATCTCTGCAGACGAGACACACTGGCTGCTGATGGTCCAGACAGAAGAGTCTGAGTTTCTCAGAGTGCAGACTGCAGAGAGCCTCTGGAGGTCTCTGACCTCTCTCCAGTAAGAAGGTCTCACTCAGGTTCTTTAAAGACAGGTTACAGGGAGGATGATCCATCAATGATCTTGCCTTACAGACTGGACACTCCTTTACTTCTTTCCCCGTCCACCAGGTCTGCGGACAGGCTTTACAGAAGCTGTGGCTACAGGACAGAACAACAGGATCTCTAAAGACGTCCTGATAGACCGGACAGCAGAGATCTTCCTCTAACCTGGAAGCCATGTTGTCTCTGAGTGAAGCTGAAACACAGCAGACAGGAAGTGCAGTCAGTCACGGCTCCTCTCCCCCTCCTCTACTGACTTCACTGTGAGTGATGTTTGGAGACTCACCTTCAGGGTCACATTGTCTGAATACATATATTGAACAACTAAGGGTTGATTTGCAGGATTGATTGCTTACTTAGCCCTATATCAGTATATAGCATGAATAATAATCACACATCAGTCATATTTGTTATGAATAGTCATTTATTAAATAGTAATGTAATGGTAGTCCCAAAAACAGTTCCTGTCGTCAGAAAAGCACAAACGGACGTCACACTTGCTGCTTTGCATGTTTGTGTACCTGTAAATGACTTCCTCTTTGATATCTGGACCAGAACAATCAGTATTGGGACTGATACAATCTTTTTTCAGCCAGCGATATCTGTCACGGGGGTGTGTTTATTTGGTTGGGGCTCGATGTCCACATAATCACTGACTGGGCGGTCATTGGGTTGTTGGTTTTCTTTGTCCACTCGTCCACAGACAGCTTCATCTGCCTCTTCTTCACTCATAGCAGTGTCACTGTCCTCTGATTCCATCTCAAAATCACTTTCTCCTTTTTGGATGGCATCACATCCTGCACACTGAATCCAGGACCTCTCTTTGCTGGTGGCATTCTGAAATGGAAAAATTAATTAATAAATATGTATCAATAATACATAGCTTATTATATTGTTATAGATTACCTGAAGGAATAGATAGGGTGGTGGGACAAGTGTTCATTCTGTCTGGCTTAGCCTATTATCATACTAAAAGGAACAACCCAGTATCACGCTGTGATGCCCCTGTGGGTGCATCAGTAGATAGGGTGTGGCTGTTCTGTCTGTGCTGCATTGGCTCCAGTGATTACCTTGATTACAGTAACTCAGGGCAACTGGGTCTGGTGTCCTGCCCAGCTATTTAGAGCCTCTCTGCTCCTCTCTGTGCTCTCTCTGTTTTTTCCTGCAGGCACCCGGCTCTGATGAGTATAAACCATGAGTTGACTTGAACAGTGTTGTGCAAATAAACACCTTTACCTACCCGTTGACATGTTGTGTCTCCTTTTTGTTGTGGCCTTTTGAGCCAGGTCGCAACACACGGCAAGACGTGAACATGTGACAATTTCATCCCTTCAAACGTGACAGTTACACGGTATTGTTAACATGGCCCAATCGGTGGAGATATACCCGGAAATGCCAAGCATATGCTACCCCAACGGTCCGTTTTTATTGTCAATATTAATATAATAATGATTTATTTTGTAATAGTCACACTCGATTACGCCGATTTTCTTGTTGCCCCAGCTGGTCGACACCTCTTTTAGCAGAAACAACTACATTAATGTATTAAATCGATGTTAATCCATGTGTGTGGATGTGGAATTAACGGACGTGTTACGGTTTGCGGAAAAGGTAGGACCCAAATGCAGACTATAAAAAAGGTAAAAGGTCTAGAAACAAAAACGAGCTTTATTTTAAAGCTGATGGACATAAACATGGCACGAAAAAACACAAGTAGCACCAGGTAGCATTAACAAACAAAACTGACCGTGACCAACATGGAGGGAGACAGGAAAGACAAACAATGAACCAACACCCAACAAAGGAAGAGACAAATACAGGTGAGGGAATGCTCCGGTTTTGGGACAAAATTAACATGGGATCACTCCGGTCATTGTACGTACTTCGTCTCACTGGAATATTAACGGTCAGATTGAATACAACATCGACCCAATTTCTCCGGTCAATGACGGGAGAGTTTTGAAAGTGACAACACACTGTTCCACACATTTAAAAACACTTAAACAATTAAACAATGTTTACCCAGGATTCAGGCACCTTCCCTGGCTTGTAAAATGCGGTGATGCGCCCTGGAGGTATCAGACTATTTAAAACATGTATACCCAGGATTCAATCACTTTTCCTGGCTTGTAAAGTGCTGTGAAGCAGCCTGTTCTCTGGGTGCAGTCTGGGTGCAAGAGCCATGTGCTGCAAGGATCTCTCTGGGTGCGCTCTGTGAGTCTCACACCCCGCTTCTCTCTGGCTGCTCTCTCCCTCTATTCACATCACTTTTCCCCAGCTTTCAAAGACTTATTGCTGGGTGGAAGAGCCATGTGCATCACCCTGGATCTCTGCCTATGTGCCTGTGAGTGTGAGACCCTGCTAACAGCAGTGACTCTGCTGTACTTATCTTCTTGTACATTTCATGAGTCAAATGTGGACGAAATGGACAGTTTCCTGTCCATATGACCGGCTGTTTATGCAGTCAAATGCGCATTGGAATTAAAACAGTTTAATGCACTTTTAACACTCATGTAGCCACGATTCAAGCTGCTTTCCTGGGTTACAAAGTGCTGTGAAGCAGCCTGTCCTCTGGGTGCAGTCTGGGTGGGAGAGCCATGTGCTGCAAGGAGCTCTCTGTGTGAGTCTCACACCCCGTTTCTCTCTGGCTGCTCTCTCCCTGTATTCACAGCACTTTCCCCCAGCTTTCAAAGACTCATTGCTGGGTAGAAACCCCTTGTGCATCACCCTGGATCTCTGCATAGGTGCATGTGAGTGTGAGACCCTGCTAACAGCAGTGAACCTGCTGCCAGCATTACGAACATATTAATCAGGCGTTTTAACACTTTTTTCCATGAAAATGATTTTTATTCACTATCATGGGGCTATATAAATCAAATTCCGGGTAATTCGGAGCACAATTGTACCTTTTACTATTTAAATGTATTTGTATTATATATTTTTGGGCTATAAAAGTGAAATTTCTGGGTGACTTTGTCAGTTTATGGAGCTTAGCCCACAATTCCTGGAGGTTCCAGGCCGCATTTGGGAGCTCATAGGCGGCCTGCCATGCGCCCCCACCCGTGGAAAGAAGAAAAAAGTAAAGAAAACGGTAAATTATATCTTAAAATAATCAAAAATGAAGTTAAAAAAAATTCTCGAAAAAACGACTGAGTGCCAACGGAAAAGGGGCTCAAAAAAGCTCAACCCTTCGGCGCATCGGGCCGAAGCCCCGGACACTTTTCCACTCCCCCGTTGCATATTACAACGGAGAGGGGAATCCAAGCCTCCCCTTCTCCGTAAAAAAAAAATGCATTCATCATTTTCAAGCAACCGTCTGCACGAAATCGGAAACCCGGTTTTTGAGAGGACTCAGAAAAAAACCGGCTGTTTCACTTCATGGAGGAATGTGTCTGCTCCATGTGTGCTCTGGCTCGGATACAAGTGTTGCATGGAGACCCCCCAGCATGGTTCTTACCAAACTTTACGTTTTTGAACTGGTCTCTGGAGGAATGTAAGGGGAATTGTCAGGGGACTCTACCCGCCTTATGAGACACTATCTTCGGGTACTTTTTTCCATTTTCACCCCTTTTCTATGGTTCTCCAAAAAGTGAACTCAGACTTGTTCTGACTGTGGAGGAATGCAAGGGGAGTTGACAGGGGGTTCTTGCGGGCTCATGATGCACTATTTTCGGATACTTTTTTCATTTTCAGCCCTTTTCCATGGATGAATTGAAACTTATTGTTTTACATTTTGGTCAATTTGACCCAGTTCTGGTACCGCATTGCCTGGAGGATAGGACCGAGAGATGACAGACTCTCTGGCCACCTCACAAGTCACTATTGTCGGACACTTTCTTTGCTTTACCCCGGTTCTATCACTCTTTCCTCCTTTGACCATACAACGTGTTTCCTGCTGGGGTACTGCCTGGTTCTGGGGCACCCCAAACCCTCTCATGGTCGGGGAACCATTAATTGATGCATAGGACCCAATGTTGCCATCACCAGCCCCGTGTTGGTGCGGAGGTGGGACCATTTAACCCGGTGGTAACCCAAGTCCTCCCTTGGTCCGTGTACCATGTATTGAAGCATTGGACCCATTGTTGCAATCACCGGTTACCCTAACGCATATAAACGGAGAAACAGAAAATAATTTAAATACAATTCACTGTGTCTGTTTTAGTAAGGATGTCGTCCGAATGCCCGGTGTGCAGACTCTTCTATCTGGCGTTGAACAAGCACCTTAAGCACAAACATGCAGTGCGGAACTTGGAGGAAAGAGGCATCATTCTTAAAATGGCCAGTGGCAGAATAAATGTTCGGACCAAACCCTGTCCCATCACAGGGTGTTCGTATGCTGGGAAGAGACTAGACCGTCATGTAACTCATGACCACCCTGAGTTCTCCCGAGATGAGGCACATCAGGTCATGGCAAGGCTGAAGCATAGTGTGGCCCTGCAGTTGCTCCATGACCTCCGAGAGACTAATCCCATCATTGGAATGGCTACATCATTGGATATAGACAATGAGGAGGAATACCCGGTGCACCCTCCACCCTTCTCCCCACATACCGAGTGTGACGAAGAGGACTGCAGGCAGGTGATGCTGGAAAATATGGCATTGAGGGCTCAGAAGGATGCCCTCATTGGTGAGGTGAAGACCCTGCGCTCCAGGCTGAAAAAGGGGCTAAAAGCCAGGAAGCAGAGTGCCACTGCTGCTGTGCTTGAGGAAGAGGAAGAATGTATACGATTTAAGGGCCTGGCAATCTCAAGTACCTCCGGCATAAACACAGTAGCCTCCGGCAGCAATACCCCTCTCAAGACCCCGGTCAAGACTGTCATGCATTCACCAGCAGCCTCCGGCAGCAATACCCCTTTCAAGACCCCGGTCAAGACTGTCATGCGGTCCCCAGAAGCCTCCGGTAGTGAGACCCCTCTCAAGACCCCGGTCAAGACTCTCATGCGGTCCCCAGAAGCCTCCAGTAGTGAGACCCCTCTCAAGACCCCGGGCAAGACTGTCATGCGGTCCCCAGAAGCCTCCAGTAGTGAGACCCCTCTCAAGACCCCGGGCAAGACTGTCATGCGGTCCCCAGAAGCCTCCAGTAGTGAGACCCCTCTCAATACCCCGGTCAAGACTGTCATGCGGTCTCCATCAGCCTCCGGTAGTGTCACCCCTCTCAATACCCCGGTTAAGACTGTCATGCGGTCCCCAGAAGCCTCCAGTAGTGAGACCCCTCTCAAGACCCCGGTCAAGACTGTCATGCATTCACCAGCAGCCTCCGGCAGCAATATCCCTCTCAAGACCCCAGTCAAGACTGTCATGCGGTCCCCAGAAGCCTCCGGTAGTGAGACCCCTCTCAAGACCCCGGTCAAGACTCTCATGCGGTCCCCAGAAGCCTCCAGTAGTGAGACCCCTCTCAAGACCCCGGTCAAGACTGTCATGCATTCACCAGCAGCAATATCCCTCTCAAGATCCCGGTCAAGACTGTCATGCGGTCCCCAGAAGCCTTCGGTAGTGAGACCCCTCTCAAGACCCCGGTCAAGACTCTCATGCGGTCCCCAGAAGCCTCCGGTAGTGAGATCCCTGTATGCCAGAAGACCCGTGCGTCTGTCTACAATAAGCTGAAAGCTAATCTGGCTAAGGACTGGCCCTCTCCCCCAAATCACTGGTCCACTGGGAAGGGACGGGGGAATACCATGCGTGAAATCACGTTGCCTAAAAGCATGGAGACGTACATTCAGACATACAGGGATCATTGTGAGGGTGTCGCACCGACAGTAAAACGGAAAGAAAATTGTCTGTCCAAGGTCAGCCGGATAAAGAACTTCCTCGTATTCATGGCCCATGGAGTTAACCGGCTGTCAGACTGGTTGTTCCTAAAAGACACGAAGAGGGTCCGTGGCTGGAGCGAGTATATTTTAAAGTCGGGCCGGGCCGTCACAACATCGCTGTTGTTCCTGAAGAATGTGAACCATTTCCTGAGGTACTTGTCTGAGTCAAAGCTCCGGGGGCGCAGGCTCACCCAGTCTGATATGACCCACATCATCAGAGAGGTGAAAGCCAACATGAACGACTTGAAAAAGTCTGTCACTGTCCACCAGTTTAAGGTGAAGAGGAACAAGCTGGATCGTCTGCCGAGCCAGGCGGAGCTTCTCGCCGCCATGGCAGCCGCTGAGAAGTGCATCCCTGATCTCCTTGACCTGATGGCTAGCAATCCGACCTCAATCACCCAGTACCTGCTATATGGCTATCTAACCCTCCATTGGAGCCTCCTGTATGGCCACCCTCCAGGTGTGTACGCAAACATGACCAACACTGAGGTCTTTGAGGCGGACAGAAGGGGCACTGCTGAGGGCTACATCATCCACGTGCAGGATCACAAGACTGCCAAGACATTTGGTGAAGCACAGCTGGTGCTTACAGTAAAGGAGTTTAGCTGGGTCATGCGGTGGATGGGGAGAAAAGAGGGCTTGTCGGGTCCTCAGAATGAATTCTTCCTTTTCACAACGGGGACGTACGCCTCCAAGAACCTGAACGCTCACTTGAAGAGGGCTTGGGCTGATGTTGGGCTAGAAACAGCCGTCACCTTCACAATCCTGCGCACTGCCCTGGCTGACAATATCGAGCATCACCAAGATCCAGAAAGCAGGTCGATTCTCGCAAGGTTTATGTGTCACGATGTAAGCACTGCAGACCGGTTCCACGCGAATACGCCTGGAATAAAGGAGGGATTGAAGATCCGCTCCATGTTCAGGGCGGCAGCAACTGCAGCAGCATCATCGGAAGGAGGTCTACCGCCGTCATATACCGCCAAAGAGGGCTCAGGGGCTGAGAGCAGCGATATCTCTTCTTCAGGGCCGGTTGATACTCCTGAGGAGGGGGCAAGGGTCGTGGACTCAACCTGTTTTCCCCGGTGCACCGTACAAGTTAGATGGCTAATATGGTCCCCAGGCCCCCGCTAATCATGTTTTTATTATGTATATTATGTATACTGTTTTTGTAAAAGTCATGTGATAATTAAATAAATAATAAAACATTAATATAACCTTGAAGGTTCCCAGGGGCAGATACAGTGCCAGGTATCAGAGTATTTAAACAATGTTTACCCAGGATTCAGACACCTTCCCTGGCTTGTAAAATGCGGTGATGCGCCCTGGAGGTATCGGACTATTTTAAACAACTTTTCCCCGCCTTTCAAACACTTATTCCTGGGTTTTAGCCTGTCATTTTGCACTATATCATTTAACATTGACCCTCTCCTGAAAAGGCACATATTCTGTGCATTTCCAGGAGAGGTTCAATGTTAAATGATATCGTGCAAAATGACAGGCTAAAACTCTCTTCCAGACATTTAAAAACACTTTTCCCGACCATTTAAACATTATTTCTGGCTTGTAAAGTGCAGTGATGAGCCCTACTAGTATCAGACTATTTAAAGGGTTGCCAGGAGCATGAGAATATCCTCCACAGAAGGGGGGGTGGTGGTGCCGTGAAGAAGGCTGAATATGGATGCCGATGGGCGGACAGTAAAGCACCGCAAAATCCACCCCCCTTTAAGTGTTACCAGGAGCATGAGGTTCTGTAGGGTGTGATCATCTGGGTTTAGTCCGTGGGGGAGTGCTTAAGTCCGGGGGCCCGGGGACTCACGGTGCGCAAGGTTATGGAGGTGTCCATGTCAGGGACACATGCTGGAGGTCATTAGTCCGTCCTTTGGGGATCTTGGAGGGGCCACAGAGAGGTGATTTCCCCGGTCTCTGTCCTGGATGTGTGAAATAACCTGAGTCCCCATTTCAGGGACACATGCTGAAGGTCTCTCTCCCGAGAGTGGACGTCCGTTGCCTCTAAATAGAGGTAAAATTGGGTCTGTGAATTTGGGTAACCGCACCACTGTCGGACGTCTCCCGAGAGTGGACGTCCATTGTCTCTAAATAGGGATAGTAGTCGGATCCCAGGAAAGGGTTAGAGGCTTGAGAAAAGTTTCCAGGACTACTGGTAAAGTTGTAGCCACTCAGGCAACAAACTCCTGAGCCAGGGCTTGCGAGCAACATCCTGGCGTGCCTCCTTCAAAGCAGCCACTCTACCCCGTATAGATGAGGCGTCATACCACGTATAAAACCTGTACTCCAGAGAGTACCCAAGATGTTCCGCCTGTAGCATCAAAAAAGCTGAATCTGCTGAGTCGGTTCATTCTGTTACGGTTTGCGGAAAAGGTAGGACCCAAATGCAGACTATAAAAAAAGGTAAAAGGTCTAGAAACAAAAAACGAGCTTTATTCAAAAGCTGATGGACATAAACATGGCACGAAAAAACACAAGTAGCACCAGGTAGCATTAACAAACAAAACTGACCGTGACCAACATGGAGGGAGACAGGAAAGACAAACAATGAACCAACACCGAACACAGGAAGAGACAAGACTAAATACAGGGAGGGGTAATCACGAGACGAGAAACAGCCGGGCTGGGGAGGAGAAACACAAGGGCAACAGGTGAACACAATCAGACAATTAGACACACCAGGGAAACTAACGACAGGAGGAAAACACAGGGAGAAGGACCAGACAATATACAAGGAGGAAAACATGACAGGGAGAAAAGAAATAACAAAAATAATAAGCAAAATAACGCCACAACTAGACACAACAAAACTCAAACCCTGACATGACGTGACGTTGTGCGATTGCGTTGCCAGGCAACAGCTTCGGTTCATGTTAATTTACAAACTCTTCAACTAGAACCGTAGTTATATTTACAAACATTTTAGAAGGCCTCACAAAATACTTTAATGTAAATTAAAATGTAAATGTGAAGGAATGTGTGTATAACAAAATACATCCGTCATTAACAATACCGGAAACAGACGTAGGCAAGATCCTCAGCTCAGTGATTGGATGGTTTAGCCGCAATGCACACTGGGAAATGGTGTTTATGCGATGAGAAATCCGAAAATATTTAAAAA